CCAAAGCCGCGGGGCGCAAGGTGGGTGCCCGAGCCGTTGTGCACATGGGAATACGGGAAGTCCCAGAAGGCGCTAGGGGCTGCAGGCAGCGGGCACGTGCCCTAAGGTGGGAGGGGCTGCCCCTGAAGCGCAGCGGGTTATTTTTTATTTTTACAGGTTGAAATCAGGCCAAGTCGGGTACAAAAGTACCTTAAAACCTTCTCCTGGAGGAAAGGTTTTCCCATGCAAAGTTTGGTTGTGGTAGCTCTTATAGTGTCCAAGTTATTAGAGCACAAACATCCTTTATATATTAGACTAACAGGACTTACCTGGCATTGCTCGGGAAACCGTAGGAACAAAATTTAGAAAAGGAGGAGACCTGGAGCCAGGGGACCCCCAGAGCCACAGACCCTGGGGGCTGATGGCTCCTGGCCCACTTGACCTCTGAGAGCAGCAGGACCCTCCTCCCGCCAGGAGAACAGTACACAGTCATGCGGCCAGTAGCAAGGGGACTTCTCTTTGCAAGGTTGGCTCAGGGATCCACCTGCCCTGCCTTGGAAGCAAAAGCTCAGAGCTCACATCTAACCCCGACGGCTGGAACCAGACACAGAAGAGCCCCACTCACAGTACGAACAGCAGCCGGCTGGCTTCATAGCAGTGTAACGCATCAAGGGTTTAACTTTGCCCCTCCACCCTGCGCTTCTGCCTAGCGAACTGAGGAGAAAGGCTGGACAGCTTTGGTTTTGGCTTCCGGAGGGAAGGGTGGCAGGTGTGGAGTGACCCCAGGTGGAGGGGAGGTTACATGCACCCGGGGCTGCAGGTGCCGTGGGGGGGCAGGGTGGGTGCCCAAGCTGTTGTGTGCGTGGGGGTTGGGGCACTGTGGGCGCCCCAGCTCGCTCTCGGGGCTGCAGGGGGCAGGGTGGGACCCTAATCAGGTCCAAAAGTACCTTAAATCCTTCTCCTGGATGAAAGGTTATCCCATGCAAAGTTTGGTTGCGGTAGCTCTTATAGGGTACGTCTAGACTACGTGCCTCTGGCGACAGAGGCATGTAGATTAGGCTACCGGACATAGTAAAATGAAGCGACAATTTAAATAATCGCCGCTTCATTTAAATTTACATGGCTGCCGCGCTGAGCCGACAAATAGCTGATCAGCTGTTTGTCGGCTCAGC